TTGTCTTCAGTGATTATGACATGGGGAAGGGATAGAGTATGGAAACATTGGAGGAACAACATGACCTACTTTCGATTAATGAATCTAAGCCATGCGGCTTCTCTATTGTTTGGTTCATACATGCAGTGTTGATATAAGATATACTGGTAATACCTTTTTTCAAAGTCTTTGGTCTGGTAACAATAAGGCTAACATATAATAACTAAGCTTCAAGAACAAATTATTAAACATGTGTAATATATCCGAGTTTAATTCCCATGCCTAATATTTCTCAGGACAGACATGATTCCACCATGTCTGGCTGGGTGGCTTTATATATTTGATACAGACACTTAATCAAAGGTTACAATATCTAAGAGGAGCAGGAGGAAAAAAAAGAAAAACTTGTTTGCAGTGAACTGTAGGATATGTTTGCTTAACTATAAGATATGGTTCATTTCAGTTCCATTAAAGCACAGAATTCTCAGACTGTGTAATAATTCAGGAGGGTGTCACAATTTAACATCTAGGCCTTGCTTAACAGTCCATCATTAAAGTTTGAAGAAAGAATATGTTAAAGACCAAAACAGGGGTAGCTAAGGGATCTTTATTTTCTTGCACTGGTCAAACGGTGGAGTAGCGAAACCAATAATTAGTTATATTCCTTGTGTTAGACATTGATTGAACTAATTTAGCAAAGATTGTCTTGTTAGGCAACAGAAAAGGGTTACAATAGTGGAAATAAAGCAACTTTAATCAAGATTATCATTACAAGGAAGAAAAACAATCTTATAAGTGTTTAAAATAGTTTAGCACTTTATAGATATAACTTCTAGAAAGTATAGAATGACATTTACCATGGGCCTGCTAAGTCTAAAGTTTCAAAAGCATGTAAGAAAAATGAAAATAGAAAGTATGACCGAAACAATCAAATCTAGATATCTTGTCTATACAATATGATGTAGGAAAGCCAATTGTCTTAGGAAAGCCAGTCATATGTTAGCCATCTTCTGATTTTAACCCCTGGACCATTTACACTGGAACGTGAGTCCTTTGCAGGGTCAACCCTTCACATGCGCATGGGGGCATTGTTTAGCGGAGGCAAATCTGTACTTTGGTGTTCTTGTTGCTGTTAGCTCCCATTAAGCCAGTTTTGTGCACAACAGACCAAAACACCGTCCTGTCCTGATCCAGCCTTGTAAGTAATTGAGACATTCATGGAATGTTTTAATGGATGCTTCTTCAAATAAATATAACATTTTTTTAACCCCCTGGAGAAGCTACTATGCAGAATTTGGGATTGCAGTTTGTTCTGACCAAAATGTTAACTTGTGAAAAATATATTTTATAGAGTATTATATTAAAGATTGCTCATATCAATAACACAAGCGAAGGGTATTTTATTTTAGTAATATGCTTACTCATTATATTCATTTGCACATTCATTTAAGAGGATTATAGAAAGATTCATTTAAGACACACTAAATATGTCTTGTCATAATGTGTGCCCTGAAAAAATGTCAATATTTCAAAGCCTATTTGAGTTACAAAAATCAAAATTAAATAATTTCACAATGGAAATACTGATGTGACTAGTATTTCTAGTGAAGAAAATAAAATGGTTTCTGACAGTTGGAAAACAGAACATTGAACATCTACAAGATAATGACATACATTTCACAGCAACTCTTTTATTTTATGTAGTCAAAATAATTAATTTTGGTTTTAGATAACTGAATCAGTAGTAGTCTAAAAATCCATGATGGTTTTTTTAGTAGTACTAGAAACCTGGATGTACTTTTAAAATATCCACTTTTCAAATAGTGTAGTATTTCCTATAAGTCTATTTCAGTTACATTATCTTGGTCAAACATTTTCAATAAGTTAGTAAAGTTAAAACTCATTTGTAGCTGATGAAACATATTATGGACGTAATTCATTAAGATTTCTTAAAAGTGAAATACCTGGCAGGGATTAATTCTAAAAGTAACACAAGCTAGGGGAAGTCTAAGAAACCACAAAGAAATTAATAAATGATGTGAATTTTCTAGTAAAACCAGTGTTTACATCATGTTAGATAGAAAGGAAATAAGCCTTTAATTGAAATTGTAAAATTATTATACAGCAATTGGACCTGCTATTCAGTACCAAATAAATATTATTTACATATAAATTTAATTCGACGATATTCTGGCTTATATTCTACTCTAGCACCATGCTTTATGTAATTCACAGTATATTTAAGAACCCAGAAAGCACTGCTCAACACTTTCCAATTACAAAACCACAACAAAATCCTTATGTGATATATTTTTATAACTCTCACGATAGAGTCTCATCAGCTTTTTTACTTGGCCTACCATCGTTTTAATACTATTAATTGCTATGTTGACTGAGAATCAAACACTCGCAAGGTCTCCGTAGACAGGTCAAGCATCAGGTTTCAGGTGTATAGAGTCCCTTCCCTCTGGTTTTCTAGATTGTGGTTTTGCATCAGCATAAAGCAAGGACGAACGTATGCACACGCACACACACACATCCATGCACGTAGCTGTGCAATTCAAAGCCGTTTCGGTCAGATGCATCCATCTTAAAATTAGAAGAGCTCTTTCTTGGAGGCAATCCAAGAACCCTTGCCCCAAACGGATGAGCAACCATTATCCCAAACCCGGGACAAGGAACCCTTACATTCAAATTGGTGCCAGTACCTTTGAGGACTTCCAGTGCAACTCGAAACAGTTTAAACCACCAATCGACACCAAGACAACAGCGGCAAAGAGGCCGAAAAATAAAACGACATGTTGTTTAAGTACAAAAATAAAAATATTTTGAGAAACTAGGCTCTGGCAACCCAAGCCTGATCCACCCTCAGAGAAGCAGTAAGAGACTATATATGCCGAGTGGCTATACGTTCATCTGCTCCATAGCATACTAGTCATGGCCAAATGCCCTACACAAGCATTTAGACCAGGCCCAGGAAACAACAGAAAGCAGCTGCATAGACCACAAGCTAGAAAGCAGGCAAACAAAAAGAGCAGGGCCATAGGCAACTGTCAAGAAGCAACAGCTTTTTCACCTCTAAACCACAGTTGAAAATACAGACCTCCAACAACATTATTCAGCCCCAAACCAGAAAGTCAATCTGTCTCCGAACCGGAGAGTAGCGTCAATAAATTGCCAGTAAAACTGTGCTGAACTGCTCAGGGTTCAGTTCAGAAGCAACTCACCCGCAAGGATCAGAAGACTCTCCAGGGCCTCCTTGTTGGCATCCGAGTCTGACTTTCCAGCACCTTGCGGTAGGTCAGGGTAAGATGATGCCAAATTCCACGAGATGACACCACATCTGACACTGTTTAAAAAAAAAATGATTTATTGAAGCGGGCGTGACAGTTGAATGGGAAGGCAGGTAAACTTCAGCGGATGGGGCTCATGAATCCCAATTTTTATCACTGCCCTCGAGTCAATTCCAACTCATAGCAACCCTATGGGACAGAGTAGAACTGCCCCCAGAAGTGTAGGAGACCCCAACTGTTCACCAGAGTACAAAACCCTGTTTTTCTTCCATAGAGCACCTGATGTTGCCGCAGGGGCCCTTATGAATTCCAAAAACTAACCAAACCCACTGCCATCGAGTCAATGCTGTCTCATAATGACCCCTGTGGGTTGCCGAGACTCTGTTTATGGCACTAGAAAGCCCAGTCGTTCTCCCCAGGAGCTTGTGGTGGTTTTGAACTGGGACCACGTGGATTGCAGACCCATGTGTAACAATTACACCACCAGGGATCCGTTACAGATAAAGATATGTATATACAATTATATATATTTATATACATATTTGTACCTATATCTATAATACATTTGTATTTGTTTGCGTATTTATATTTGTGTATTTATATATAATCTATACTTACATCATGTATATATTTTCTTTTATTTTTCATCTGTAACTTTCAGCCACACTGAAATTATTTGAATTATTAGTCTAAAATTGCTCATTTAAAATTTTAGTTACATAAAGAGTTACAATAATGCAATGCCATACCTTTCTCAGGATTATTTTGCTTCTGGTTTTACTACTATTCCTAGATTTTATTCTCTAAATCATCCTTAGAACCTAAGTAAACATAAGCTAGTAAGCAGCAACTATCAATTAGTTAGACTCATGTAATCTTACAAATATTCAGCATTCGAGGTACATAATACCTCTGATAGTATAAACTAGAAATCATCTTACAAAGTCATCTTTTTTGCCATAGCTACCTTTGTTTTACTTGTCCAAGTACATTAAGTATTATTTTACTAATATATGTTATAAGTCCTTTAAGGATTAAGTTTAATGATATAGACTTGAGATGCAAGGATATTGGTATAATTTTTGTTTGCTTATGACAACCTCCTTTATTGTTTTTAAATTGTCGCTTGGGATAAAGGTTACAGAACAAATCGATTTTCCATTTAGCTCCATTATTGCTGAAGTGAAAATAGACATAGATCTAGTCATATTTAAACTTTCTTACTGCAACAGTTAAAATTTGCAGCTTTGGCTACTGGGTATCAGGATTTTCCACCCTCTCTAGACAGGTTACCTGCTGAAATGATCATTTTCAGTGGTAGTTTTCCAAAGAAAAGAAGCTAACTTCTGCCTGATCACTTACACTGCTGAGAGTGTTGACTTTAGCAAATCACTGGCTGGTGGAGTTGTCCAGTGATAGTGACCATGGGGAACTTAAGTGTTGTCTCGTAAGGATTTCTTTAGGCTTTGAAGTGTCCAATGAAGTCAAAGGTTACACTAGAGTTAAGAATGAGATAGTCACATGGGGGTTCTTCAGTCGGCTTATCTGTTCACATTGAGCACACTCCGTGTGTGAAAAACAAGATGCAACTATTGTTGCTACAATTCTCTGATCCTGTGTCCCAGTAAAAACCAACCCTCTGGTCATTTCCCCCTACTTAGCCAAAGTGTGATAGTCCCCTCTCATGACTTATCCTCAGCTCACCTCTGCACATGTGATTCCTCACAGTATTCCACGGTGGAAAGGCATCCTGTGGCGGCATTGGAGAAAATGATGGATTCCAATTTTGCTGAACCCCAGCCCTTCCCAGAAGTTCCTTCTTCTGACAGAGGAAGCCAATCTAGCAAACATCACAGGTACAGGTAACCAATCCTGGTGGGAGTGGGTGCATTCACGCTGTGTTTAACAGAGAAAAAAAAAACATGCCATGGATGACAATATTACACAGAAGAGACGAGCCTTCTTGCTTTTTCTGTAGTTCTCCAGGAAACAGGCTCAAACATATCAAAGCAGGTGAACGAAAGATGCTAGCTCCACCCATTGGAAAGCAAGGTTCCTGTACCAAGTGGGAAATGACACTCTGAAGATATGCTGAGCAGCGAATGGGAACAAATGTATTCTGAAAACCTGTTGGAAACAAGATGTTTCTTATCCTGCCTGCTCTCTCCCTTTGGGAAGTTAATAACATCACTCCTTGGGCTACTGCAATGACCTGCCTCGGCTTGTCACACAAACACATCTTTCCTGGGGACGAAGCCTGGTGGATCCTGAGTCTATGTGAATTTGTATTATCGATGGAATGACTCGGTTTTAAGAGTTGGCCACCCAAATGACTCTGTTGTGTAATAAGCCCGAAGGAAGACGATTTGATAAAATCCACGTCCTTCTGAAACAATGTATCTGTAGCACCTCCGAGTCCAAATTCTGTGTTCTAGAAGTGGGACATCTGAACTTTCAAGGTTGCAGGCGTTGTCCTGGATAAAATGGCAGTTGGGACTGAGGCTAAAAGTTTATGGGTATCCATAATTATATCTTAATTTTAAATGGAAATTTGCTAAAGCTTCGGGTTCCTTTTTCTTAGTGAGAAATATGGCCATTGGAAAAAGTTTAGAGTATAAAATCATTTCGATATAAAAAGAGGAAATAAAATTTCTTTAAGAAAAAGAGGAAATAGTCCTAGCAGTAAAAGATCGGTGTTTCTGCCTCTGTGTTTTCACATAGTCCTCTCCAACCGTACAGCATGGCAAAAACAGGATTGTGAAAGGAAACCCCCTTCTCTCTTGACTCTCAGACCTCCAAGGAAACACTTCTTAGAATGCGAGTTTCATTCTCCTGTTAATGAACAGCATGAAACACTAAGTGTTTGTCAAATTAAAGACAAACAAGCTTGGTTTAAATATCTTAACCACACAATTGAAATATGTTTGGCACTTGGCTAATTGCTTGAGCTAGTACTATACGTTTCAGTTTAAATCATTTATGACGTTTTTAGAAATATTGAAATATCTTCCTATGGGTGGCATTTTTCATTTTACTAGGCCTAACAGAAGACCTATTAAAGGAACTAGGCCTTTAGTCAACAGCCATTAGAAGATGAATATTTTCTCCAAACCAATGTTTCTCCTGATGGTTTTAACACATTAAAGGATTGTTGCATCCTGTCAAATGAAATAATTAAGTATAATGTTCTTCTAATAATAGATCATGCCTTCACAATTTCCAAGAATAACAAAAAATAGAAATACAGCTTCTAAAGGATATGGATTGTAACCCCCCCTCCTCTTTCCCCCCTCATTATTTGGCCCTGTGCATATTTTCCCCTAGACTTGGCTTCTTCCGTGGCTTCTAGATTAAACCAGAACATCTTGAAAAAACTCCCCTTTGTGTTTGGCTCAGCGGCACTGAAGTATTTGTCTACATTGTGTCTTGATAGATAAAGGCGATTCCATTTATAAAGTGCTTTTAGAACATTGTAAATTACAGTTTAATATATCAGAGCTTTTGTTTTGCGAAACATGCAGTAGACTTAAGCATTTTCATGATTTATAACCTGGCGACTGATTTATGTAGCTGAAAACTGCTCCACGACTTGCTGACTGCCCTGAATACTTGATCGGTAGGTAGGAAGTGGTCTAAGAGAGGTCACCAGTACACAGTGGTAGATGTGGTGGTGACAGTCCAACAAGCTACAGATAGTTTATTTTTGTGCGTGGTGTTCATTACTCATTTGGACAATTGATTTATAAAACAAAGCTATTAGTTCGTGATCACTGTTTCTAGTGTTTTGTTAAAACATAACATTTATGGTGATCATTTTAATGGCATAATATTATTCTATCATATTTTACAATGTAACGCATTTATAAAAAAACACATGTAAACGCTTCTTAGTGAAAGAAATCTGGGGTTTTAATAATTTGAATCATCTTTTGAAACGATCAATTGCGATAGAGGAACCAGGGAAAATTTACTCCGTTGAGCATCTACTATGTGCTACACCCTCCCACCCCCCAACACACACACACACACACACACACACACACACACAGTACAAGAGACTTTGTCTACCTTATCTACTTTAACACCAGTGACAATCCAATGGAATTATTTTTCAAGGGGGCTGCTTTCTTCCCTTGCCCCTCTAGATCTAGCATCTACCCTTCTCTGCGATGCTCTGCACACACCTGAGTTATGGCCTCTGTCAGTTCCAACACATGAGGCACAGGCAGGAGCTGTCAAGGGCAGGGGTTAAGATAGGGGATCATACTTCTGTGCTTAGGAATCTTAGCTCTATCTCCTCCCTGGAGCCATGGTGCCCGCCAGCCAATCCTCTCCTTACAGCTCACTTTCTCTGTGCATTCTGATAACGACTCACCTTGGTTGTCCAGTCAGTCAAAAGGTAGGAAGGGTGTCCCTTTTAGCATCCAGTCCCTGGAGAACAGTAGTACCTTGTTTTTTGTTTTTATTCTCAAACAAGAAAACCACTGCAACCTTGTGGTTAGCAGTCACCCAACCACTTCACACCTTTGTCAATGGCAAACTCCTCTCAAACGACCACGGTTGAGAGCGCCTTCTCTCTCTCTTCTGTGCAAGGTGGGGATATCGACACCCTTCACGTGTCAAACTCTCAGAAACTCACAGGGGTAATTCCCCCGTGTCTTATAGATTCCCTATGACTCTATACGGACTCAATAGCATTTTTGCTCCCTCTGAGGACCTTGGTGGTGGCATAGTGGGCTGTGTACTGAACTGCTAACTATAAGGTTGGCAATTCAAACCCACCAACCACTCCTTGGGAGAACCCTGAGGCTGTCTGCTCCCTTAACGTTCCAGAAACCCGAAGGAGCAGTTCTACTCTCAACTATTGGGTGGCTGGGTGTCAGGATAGACTCAGTGGCAATGAATTTGGGTTTCTTTATTTGGTTCTTTCTCCTTCCAGAAATCTGATGGGTACAATATGTCCCACAACTTTATGATGCCATATACATACAGACCGAAGACGGAAACCTAGAGGCAGCTCAGACCAGTATCTAAGCTCTAGTGGCCAGAAGTCTACATCAGAAGCAGGGAGGTAGCAAAACAGACTAGCTCTTAGAAACATCCTTTCACCTTTTGTTTTAGCAACTTCAGTTGAAGCCCCTTCTTTTAAGCTACTTTGTGAAGTCCTACAAATCATGGTAAAGTAGGAAGATGTTGCCAAATAGGATCCACTATTTGCCCAAATTCAGCATGTTACAGTCGACTGGTGCAATGTCAGATTTGACCAGTCACCTTACCAATACCTGAAAAAAATGGCTAACAGCACTCAACTGTTACGTTCTGTTTCTAACATGAACTACTTGCGAAGGTTACGTTTGATATTTCACAAGTAGCAATCGCCTTATTCGTTGGACAAAAGTTAAAGAACTGCTACATGTGTCCTAGTTCTTTGGGAGACTGGTCCTCTTACCACCTGACATATTGAAATTTTGAAAAGCATTTTCCTCTTTCTCTACATGGATATTTTCAGGTGAAGTGAGAATTGAGGCCCAAATTATTATTTCACTTATTGTTTGAATCAGTGGCCATAGATACTGGCATCACCAATACGTCTACATGGAGTCAGCTCCTCACTAGTGCTTGAGACCGTTTGGGTCAATTCAGTAGGATGTAGATGGTAATGGATGTAGAACAGGCAGTTATTAAAATGTTGCAATTTATTTTTAAAAGTCTATCACTTTTTCTTTTTCCTCTTTTTTAAGATGCAGAGAGGGGCTTCATCTTGCTATAACCTGAGGTATATCCATTCATGGTTTACCCTTTGATGGCATCTGCACACTGGTCCAAATAGTCAAAAGGCAAAGACATTGAAACAAAATTTTATTCGGAAGAGTTCTTCCACATACATACAGAGGATATGATTCAATTATAGAAAAAAAGCCAAGGGACTTGAAGCACATTACTTACAATAAAATTTATAAAGAGAAGAGGGAAAATAACTGAGGAAAACAGTGACATGTCTTAAACATGATTAATTAGCCCCTGCTTTACTGAGAACAACATGTACTAAGTTACTTTTGACCTGGCTGTTAATAATTTGAATTTCTGACCCACCTGCAGCCAGGAGGCCTTTATAAGATTTATATTAGGAGAGCCTACAGGCTTGGGGTTTTCTTTTTTCATTAAATTATGAAAATCTTTTATGGTTGTTATTATCTTTTCCCAGAAGGAAAAGATAAGTTGACACTGCTGTAGAGCAGGGTCCGCAGTAGGATAGATCATCAATTGCTCTTGTATAAGTTCACATTGAATCTGAAGCAAATGGAAACAAATCCATTATAACTGATACATAAATCTGAGTATCTCCCACCTGAATTTGGAGAACACCACAAGACTATATTTGATGCTTGCAATACTAATGAGCAAAGACCAGGTGAGTTGTCGGATGCCATGGGTTGCATCATCTATGAATAAAAGAAGGGTCATTAAAAAGACAAGAAAGAAAACCCACAGTACATGTTAGAAGACTGAAAATTGCTTATATAGAGTAGCAAGTGGAAATGGAAGAAATTATGCAGTAGCTAATGGAAATGGAAGAAAGTATGAAGTAAAAGAGCTAAACAGAAAATTCCAAAGAAAAGAGGTGACTTCACAAGAGGCGAGGAGGCGAGTCACCATCATCAGCCTCAGCTTTCCAAGACTGATCCCAAGGCTGCTTAGGTCAGCCATGGGCCACCGCCAACCTTCCTGCCAATTCCTAGGCCAACTCTCTCTTCCACAGAACTGTCTATCTTTCCCCTGGGCTCGCTCATTCGTTTCAATGACCGCATGATTTGCATACAACACTCACAATTAGGGGATTCATAAAGTTAACAGGTGCAAATTCTCATGAGGACAGGACAGCCTCACCTCAGCCATGCTCACCAGTCAGCCTCTCTCTGGTTGTTGCATGCACAGCCAAACAAACGACCGGCCTCTGCCTTGCTCCTACAAAGTTAAAATAATAATAAACAAAACTCTCTCGTTCCATGGATCAGCAAACCTAGTTCCCTCCATGAGCTGCCTGGAGGCAACCAGCTCCACAGCCCTGTTCCTGCCCCAAACACTGAGTTGTCCTGGCTTCTCCAGCTGGGAAGTTCACGGTTCTGACTCTTGGTCTGACTGTTTGGCTGTTGTCATTCGTGGGCATCTCTGTTGCTTCTCTGGGTCACAGCTGTCACCTGCATCAAAGAGATGCAATGTGCTCCATTCCGGGCTATTCTCTCAATGGCAGGGAGGTCCCTTCCTCTTCTGACAAGGTTCTTTTTATACACAACAGGATGACAATCACAATGAAAACCAGTAACAATCACTCACAGTTGAGTCATATAATACTATCAATATCTTCACCCACCTTTTCTTATTCTGACCCATGAGGAAAATGCCATTTGGGGGGAGTGTCAAAGACTGTGGCTAGAAGAGCCATAGAAGACCATTTAAAGCAGAGGAGCAGCTCAAGAAAACAAAGCGAAGTATTAACATGAAGGGTGCAAAAATCTGGACTTGACTATAAGAGAAGAAGATGCCACGCTCTTGGCGAAGTGATGAATGATGTAGGAACCATCAAATGGGAGGAAGATACAGAGTCCCCGAACCAAGGATTGACTAGCAAGTAACCATCTCAAGAGGTCGTATATGATCAAAACCCAATAGTATTAAAAGAATAAATCCAAGTTGCACGGAGTGCATTAACATAATAAGGAATGCACAGAATCGCCAATTAAAATGTTCCAACAAACTGACTCAGTTCTAGGAGCAATCCTTTGTTTACGAAATTTGCAAGATGCTACCTGGCCAAACAACTGAGAGAGAACCGTATTAGTGCTCCTTGCAAAGAAAGTTGGCCTACCAGAAGGCAGAAACTATTGAACAATATCTTTAATATCAAGGAACCCTGGTAACTGGGAGGTCAGCAGTTCAAAACCACCAGCTGCTCTGGGGAAGAAAGAGAAGGCTTTTTACTCCTATAAAGAGTTGTAGTCTCAGGGGTAATTCTAACCACAGGGGCAGTTCTACCCTGCCCTCTAGGATCACCATAAGTCAGAGTCAACTCGATATCAGTGAGTTTGCTTTGGGTTTTATCATTAATATCACATGCAGGTAACATTTTCCTCAACATATTTTTTTAAATGGCTGCAGCAATAGATTCGGAAGGAACTTGTTGGAATTCAAACGGGATTCCGAAGGGATCAGAAGGAACCAGTTACATCATTGCTGACATCAGATTAGCTGAAAGCAGAGAATAACAGAAAGATGCTTAGTTGTGCTTTGTCACTTGGCAAGGGCATTTGCCTGTGTGGATCATAACAAACTATGAAGAATCGGAACCAAACATTTCATGGTGCTCATGTGGTACCTGCGTGTGAGTATGAACAGGGTAAGGGGATCGTGTATAAAGTTAGGAAAGGTCTGTATCGGGGTGGCATCCTTTCACCTTACGTCTTCAATCTCTATGCTGAGAAAACAACAAGATTGGAATAGATGGCGAAGAACGTGGCATCAGTATTAGAGAAAGGCTAATTAATAACCTGCAATATGCAGATGGCATAACCTCGTTTGCTGAAAGGGAGAAGGATGGAGGCACTTGCTGATGAAGATCTGAGATTGCAACCATCAGCATGAATTATCGCTCAGTGAAGAGAAAATAAAATTCTCATAAATCGACTAAGAGAAAACAGCATGATAGAGAAAAGATGAAAGTTATCAAGGATTTCATTTTACTTAGACTCACAATCAACACTGCCAGAGCGGCAGCCGGGAAATCAAACGATGCACGACACTGAGAAAATCTACTGCAAGCCTTTTCAAAGTATGAACGAGCAGAGGTGTCACTTCTAGGACCAACGTGTCCCGGGACCCAGGTATGGTATTTCCCTTGCCCTCATATGGGACATGAATAAGAAAGGGGTGAGAAGAATTTTCACACCTGTGTTCTGTTGGTGGTGAACGATTACAAGTGCCACAGACTGTCAGAATAACAAAACACATCTGAAGAAGGACAGCCATTATGTTCCTTAAGACCAAAGACAATGAGATTTGGTCTCATGTGCTTTGTAATCAGGAGGGTCCAAGTCCTGGGAAAGGACGTCAAGCTTGGTAAAATAAAAGGTCGGCAAAAACAAGGAGGTGCTCATTATGCAGGGGCTACAACAATGAACTCCAGCTTCACAATGACGAGGCTGAACCATGACAGGGCAGTGTTTCTTTCTGTTGGACATCTAGTTGCAAAGAATCTGAGCCGACTCAACTGACACCTTACAACCGTAAGAACAGCAGTTTCTAGCAGGTATTTCAAGTTTGAGACAAACTTTTAGGGTTAATATGTGCTTTCCTGTATAAAAATGTCATCCTTAAACTCAAAATGAGACATCTATCATTAAATTCTCTCTTTCACAGAACATCTAGTTACTTGGATGTTTGGGTGTGTGAGTCAAAAAATCCATGGTGAAATATTTATTTAATGAACACTAAAACGAAGAGCCATTTAGTTTCTCAAGTTTGACAAAAATATTGATGAATGAACTGGGAATGTAAAATATACATTAAGAGAATATAAATTAAAGTATGGTGTATTTAATCTAGCACCAAAACAAATGAAACTATGCCACAAATCAAGTCAGAACTTGTTGATAAGAATCTGTTGAATTCTTATCAGTGTCTAATGAAACAGCCATTTCCGTTTCTAATAGGCAGTTGGCTATAATGGCTTAGAAAATCAGCCGTTCGTGGAGTTGAAACCTGAATCTTGAGACTTCCTTAAGCCCATCATTCGTCTTCAGTTAGAAAGCTGCAATTGCTTAAACAGTTGTGTTCTAAACTGGAAAGTCAGAGATCTGGGAACATCTCCGTTTCCCCATCTCCAAGGGTAAAAAAAGGATCTAACCACTTCTGCTCCAGTCCGAGTCCAGATCCAACCCCCCATGGAGGGCTGCAGGCCCGCACTTTGAGCATCTAAGTGTACGTTTGATATATTTTGTTTGTTAATTTTCTTTCACCCCAGCAGGGGTCTCTCCTCTTGCTGCAGCCCAGGGTCAAGGAGTGGGATGCTTCATAGGAATGCCTTCAGAAGGACACCCCCTTTGCCTCGAAATCGGCTGGGTGGAATCATGGGACCAGCATATCAGCAACTTGAAGAATCCAGGATCCCAGACCAGGATACAATACCTTGCCAAGGGTAGGTCTTAAAGGCAATGGAATTTAGAAAGGCTGTCATTAATAGTATAGCCTTAAGCTGAATTATAACACTTCTTGTGATTTTATTCCGATTTCTAGGTCAACTGGTTTTTTATGCTTGCTACTACCATCCTTATCCCACCCAAGATGAGGTCACTTATAAGAGAATAGGCGGAGGAGCCCTGTTGGCATGATGCAGAATTAGGTAGATGCTAGGTCGAAAAGCGATATGAGTCCAGGAAGAAAGCAATGTATATACAGGTACAGATATATTGGTCATTTCTTATACATACTAAAACAATTAGGAATTTATCGTTTATCCTTAAAGATGAGATTTCTTCATAGGACTCAAGTGCTCCTTTATTGAGGCAAATAAGGGATTTCGAATTGAAGACAAATCCCTGAAGCGGCATTGTGGCAGTGTCCTGCAACATATCCTCAACATCTGTTTCCATGGGGAATTCTTGAATGTGGCTCACGCGATGTTGAAAGTGAAAGGCCAAAACACTGTCTGATGTACTCGGACTTTCTGACTATTGAGATTGCAAGGACCGGAGGGTGGGCTTCGACTTTACCGTGACTGCTGCTCGTTGTTACAATGAACAGAGTATTCCTCTCTCGAGGTGACGACACAGATGCTCACAAGGCACACAGAATGGGGAGTCCATATAGGATGTTAGCCACCAGGCACCGATTGGGGAGAACCCTCTCAGTCCATCATGGCAATTGTTACTTCAGTGGGTATGTGTGTACATACAGACCCATTCAATCTCATACTCAAATTCAAATCTCTGCTCTTTACTACCATGGTTCCCCGAAAGTAAGACAGCCCCCGAAAATAAGACCTACTTACAGTTTTGCCTCTCGCTGAAATATAAGGCATCCCCCTGAAAATATGACCTCCCCGAAAATAAGGCCCCCCGAAGCTACCATAACTCTGGACTCTGGACCGTAGCAGCGGGCACCACTGTGCAGCACACTGTTGGCCGCAGCACAGCCAGAGCCAACAGGAAGTGCGAGGTCTCTTAAAAAAACAATAAACAATAAATGTGTACCATATTCTTCTTCATGGAAAAATAAGACATCCCCTGAAAATAAGACCTAGCGCATCATTAGGAACAAAAATTAATATAAGACACTGTCTTATTTTCGGGGAAACAGGGTAGTTAGCTAACTTGGGAATGTTTTATCACCTGAGCTCCAGTTTTCTCCTCTCTAAACTGAACAAAGTACTACCAACCTCTTGGCGGGTTCTTGGGCAAGTTAGATCTATGAGAGGGCTACAAAGAATTTTTACAAAAGTGGCATGGAAAGATAATGGAATTTTTCCGTGAGCATTTGCAGCCCTTCCTGTGTAGATGTTTCGGTTTTTAAACACATTGCGCTCAGCACATAAGTAGAAAAGTACTGGTATTTGTTGTGTAGTTCCTGTCATTAATTTTAAGAGCATTAAAAATAAAGGCTAACTCCAAAAACGTCTAGAAGCAGTGTCCTCACTCAGGCCAGGCCCCTGTGGCATACCATGATGCGTTTCTCTGGATGCGCCCAGACAGGCTTCTGCCCTGCCCTGGTCTAGCTTTCCAACTCTCTACATCAGCTGCAGGCGAAAGCAGTCAGAGGACCATTACAGAGTCCCACCTTCCTCTTCTCCCAGGGCTGGGATTATACATAACTGTGCCCTATTTGAAAGAGCTCAGTAACAAATTTCTTTAGGGAGACTAGAAGATAGGAAGTAAATAGCCTGTGGCCGGGCTTGTAATTTTGAAGCAATTCCAAGTGGACCGCAAAACGCAATTGGTGCAGACCGGGAGTGACAGCTCCAGATTCCGCACAACAGCCACGTTTCCCAACACGTACAGTGCACGTCAAGAAGCAGTTGGCCTCATTCTCTTAAAAGATAGTTAGCAGAACATGCGTGTACTATCTAGCGTGACAGCAAGGGAAAATCAATCTCAGAAGTGATGGGAGTAGAGAGGAGCCCAGCCTGTGCTGCCTTCCTTTGTTGGGGCCTGCCGAGACCAGACCTCCAACCATCCCCACTGCGGGCATGGTCTGAAGCTGCACATGCTCCACGCAGCCATCACGCTTCCCCTTACGTTTCGTTTCGGTGATGAGAGTGTCCACTGCTTGTTAGTTTGTTGATTTTTACCGCCTAAAACTCACACCTCTTGTGTATGTGGTACTGATTTTGTTGTGATAAAAATCACCATTGGGTGAGAAATATTTTCTCCAGCTGGCTGGCCACATGTATTTTCCCGGTGTCTGATATGCACCAGATGTTGATAAATGGTGACTACTAAGTCAAAGTCACTACATGCTCCACACAGTGAATCGCAGGGAGCAATTTCATTCTCAGTTCTGAAAACCAGCTATTTTCCACTCCTCGGGGACCAGCTCTTCCCTGACTGAAAATAGGATTGGTAATAGAATTTCACAGCTAAAGGCCCCCTTCATATCTGGCCCTGGGCTGACGGGGGTGGGGGGGCTAAATGGATTTGCAGGAGCCATCGGTCTTGTTTGTCAAGCCTGTGGGTGCTGTCTGCTGGGTAAGAGACGGCCTTGCAGTTGCTCTCAACGGCATTAATTTCAGCCTCGCTTACATCCATCAGTCATTTTAGTGTAACCGAGCGAAGGAAATTAGGTGAAGGGGAACTTCTTGGGGATCCCTTCACCGAATTGGAGCTCTAACCTGGTGAGAAGAGCTTTAGATCAAGGAAGTTTAGACCAGGCTAGTCAAACGAATGCAATCATATAATACACAGAAAGAAACAATCACAAAAGTGAAATTCACACCTTCAAAGTAGGTGGGAACCACAGCACTGTCAAGTGAGTATCTATCACACTTCACCACTTATTCTTTACCGACGTGTAATTAAGCACAGTGAACATGGCAGGATTTAAATACCTAGCCGGAGGAGGAACAAGCTAAGTAAAAGGGGACTTCTGGTTGCCAGCTCCCAGCAGAAAAGTGGATTCTTTCTAGTTATTTCTTTAAAGGAGCCCAGGAGTTACAGCGGTTAGGCGCTGGGCTGCCAGGTGAAGGTCTGTGATGGAAACTTGCCAGCCATTCTGTGGCAGAAAGGTTACACTCTGCGGGTTCAGAGATAGCAGCTTTGCCAACCTTGTGGGGTGTACCATTGTACTCTGTCCTGGAAGCTCTCTGTAGAGCCGAATGGCCACTTTAGCAGTCACAACAGGTGATAAGTCAGTTCAATCTAATCCCTAGGCCCTGGATGCTTGAGTTCTTTAGGGAAATGTGGATTCTTTGTTGTGATTCCATAACGTTTGGCAACCAAAGTAAGTGGCTGATTATTAAAGATGGAATTCTTCATCTTTACCAGGATTCTTTGGATCCTATAAAGTAAATAAATAAAACAATAAATCCCCTGCCCTTGAGCCACTTCTGACTCATAGTGACCTTGTAAGCTTTTGTGGAATCTGACTTCCACGTCTTTCTCCCAAGGAGCACCTGGTGAGTTTGAACTGACCCCCTCCCTAACCTTTTTTTTGAACAGACTTTAACCACGGTACCACATAGTTACAGAATAAATGCACTTGGGGGTTTTCTGCAGAACAATGAGAGGAACTCCATGAATCATGCACTCGTAGATCAAACTTGTGAAAGATGAATGGCTCTCACAGGGCACAGCCCCTCGAGTCCCTTCTAACCCAGAATCACAGCTAGAATTTAGTTCCCCATCTTCTACAGAGGGTTAGCTCACTGCTACTCAAATAGTGCCAAGCACTCACAGCAAAGCTAGGAAGGATACAAAGATTCCAGATGGACACACAATTAAACAGTGTACATGATGTATTCCAATTAATCTTCCAGCAAAGTCTTGATTGTTTTCATTGATAAGAAAACTAAAGCTTAGAGAAGACCGTTTGTGTCTGAGTGTATGTGAGGGTTTCGGATCTTGAATCTGTGTATGATTCTCCCCCCTCAAAAAAAATCAAGCTTTTAAAGAGATAGATGTGTTTATACACCATGTTTATATCATGGTGACATTTTGGATGTCAATTTGAAGCCATGTGTCCAAGGCGACTTTTGAGATAACACCTAATTAACTACAAATCCTCTTTCTCATCTAAGGTCTGCAGTTGTACAAAGTCCAGCATGGTGGAGCATTGTTAAATGTGTTTACCAAGTCGATTTTCTCTTGCATGCAATGGTGTAGTCTATGGTCTTCTGAATCCTGTACTAAGCTATATAAGAGGCATGCTCCAAGTTAGGCTTGAGTTGTTTTGATTAATTTTAGTAATCATTTCTTATGAAAGATTTAATGAAGCTAGAGTTGACCAAATCCTTTGAGATAGTTATGACCTTATCTGAATTTGCACACCTGATTTTTTGATCCAGGTGTACAAATTTGCACTTATCACCATCACGTTTCATCCTATTAGATTCTTTCCACTGATATACTGTGTTGCTAGTGCAATATAATTTTATTTCATTGTTTGGGGAATATAACTTTATAGTAGCTATGTTTCTTGGCTCTATGTCATTGGCAAATCTTGTAAGCAGCTCTTCCTCTTTATGAATATTAATGATACTGACAGTAAGATACTAAAGACAGAAAGTGAGAGATTGAAATGCCTCTACATTTTGGGAACTAGATTAATAGATCAGAATGGTTAGGCTCAGATTTTCAGTCACGTAACATTAAATAGAAAGGAGTGAATCTCTAGGTAGTTCCTCATGTGTGGATATGCACAGGTAATGATTAAACCTCCCCAATATGAGTTCTGGTACCTCATGGAGTGACTTTCATAAAGACTCTCTGGGTTTGGTAGCAATGATTAAAAAAAGACACCTCCTTTTAATTTCTTATTTGACCACGTATTAAAGATATAATGTGGGGCAAGTCGTTAGAGTGCCTACTAATTCCATTTATTCACCTGTTATGTGACAATAATAATAATGAGTTGCAATAAAAATAATAAATTCAAAGATTTAATCACACTGAAAGGGCTTTTACACTAAGACCATTATGCAGGTGTTAGTTGATACTATTAAGTAGGAAGATAGATTTTAAGTTGGATATAAAGGGATCATTTCTCTTTAAAATTTGTTCATGGAACCACACCCTCATTCCATTGATGGATGGCCAACCTGTGTCAGTCATGCAAGTGGAGGAGGAGATCATAAAGATGACTGTGTCTATTGCCTGTCTTCGCACAGTCTCTGATGGGGAATCCTGACTTGTAACTGCTCCATCATATCCTGAAACTATAGAATTCTATTTAACATATGCCATCCTTTGCTATAATTATGTGTATGTGTATAAACGTGTTTGGTACCTGAATGATAATGCAGGTCACAGAGAATGAGATTGATTATACTGCGGGTACATAGGATTACATTACTTTTTTTAAAATTTAAGTTCATTGAATCTTTAAATGAAAACCAAAGAGTTGAGTGATACAATAAAATGTTATTGTTTCTGTCCCAAAGAACATTTTATTAACTTGATGACTGCAATATATCCGCCTCACTCCCTGGCACTGGAAACTCAACGTAAGCAAATTCATGAGCCCCCAACAGGCAAGCCTGGATTCTGACATCTTCAAATTACGTGGAATGTGACATTGGCATTCTGACCCCGCTCTGGCTGGGCCACTGTGTAATTCCCTTACAGGATTCTAGAAAGTTATTTAGGAGAAGCTGTTAGACTGGTACCGTCTCTCTTCAGTCTACTGAAGAGTCAACCCCAGACAGGCAGAATTGTTTGCCCCTCACTTCAATATCACTTCAACCATCTGGCCATGGGACGGAGTCCCAGAGGAGATTGATTCAGACCTTTTAAAATCCACACCAATCAGAAGCCTTCAGCACTGGGGTGAGAAAGGGGTCCCAAGGTGCCTGCCGGACAAAAGTGGGGCTGAAAGGGTGGTCAACGTGATGAGTCATTCCTTTATGGGTTTCCTGTTGGTCACAATGGGAAGGCCGCACTTACCTGCTCAATCCCTATTTACTTTGTATTCTAGGATAGAGGTCAGGAAGATTATACCCCACCTGCCTATACAGCTGTGGTGTGTTGAAAGCTCCCTGGACTTAAAGTAAGGAGACCTGGGTTTGAGTCTCAGTCTGTCACTTATTTTCTGTGTGACCTTGGGCAAGTCACTTCACCTACCTGAGCTTCAGTTTCCTTCTCTGTTTAACTGGGCACATCCTCTCCGTCTCATGGGGTTTCTGTGAGAATTCAGTGAGCTGGTGCATGTGGAAAGTGAGTTTTGACTGGATAGTGCTCTGATAAAGGCCAGTGGAAAGCAGCGCGTTTAACACTGTGCTTCTTTTCCAGGTATCAAGCCAGTGGTTTAAAACTGCAACACAATGCATCAATCAATATGCAACTGCCTTCAAGAGAGACAAACCCTTACTTTCAAAGCCTGGATCAAAAGGACCTGGTGGGATGCTCATCCACACGGGCCAGTTCGGTGCCCATCATCCCTTCCGTGGGCCTGGGGGAAACCTGCATGCACATGCCAGGGATTTCAGAAGTCCGAAACATCAAGTGGTGCACAAACTCCTATTCCGCAGAGCTGGTCAACGTTAGTGTGCCCGTCAGTGACTGTCTCCGAGCAGAGCCACAAGAAGTGAACACACTGCTAGAAACGGTCCAGGAACAGCTCCGCAATCTGACCGATTCCAGGCGGTCAGAAGACTGTGAACGGGCCAGCGTGGAGACTGAGACCAGGGCAAGTGAAAGCGCAGCCTTCCTCCCCCTGAGTCCCACAGCCAAACCAGATGGCGAGGCACAATTTGTCTTAAGAAACGAACTACAAAGAGACTCCGCATCGACCAAGTGACTCGAGATGTAATCACCTGTGCATTCTCTGCTTTGCTCCACAGGAAAGAGAGGAAATTAAATACAAATAATATGCATTAATTTAAGAGCATCTACTTAGAAGAAACCAAATAGTCTCTCGCCCTCATATCATAGTGTTTTTTAACAAAATATTTTTTTAAAGGGAAAGAAATGTTTCAGGAGGGATAAAGCTTATGACTAAAGCTTTCTGATAGAATTCTGATTACAATTTCACTCAGTCCCAACACTGCCCTCTTTGACGTTCAGATAATGTGTGGGGGCAATTCAGACACGCAATCCCACAGCACCAGTGATCTCCTAAGAAAGCGCTGGTGACCACACAGTTTCAAAGACAAGCTGTATCCTGATAGGGGACGTGCCAGTGAGCAGGGAACTCTTACTAGTGAGCTTGCCAGTCCCAATCCCTAAATTTCAAATTCACCTGATCGCCTCATCACAGGTTATGCCATGCCAACCAAGGTAGTGTTTCCTAGTTGATTTTCCCAAAATGGCACAAAGACTTTGGAATGCGAAAGAGGATCTGACAGACAGACAGAGAGAGAAACCGGAGTCAATCTCCACTACTCCACGTGCCACTTGCCTCTGCTATTTGAAGATGTGGGATCTCAGAGGGCAGTATGACATTACGGTAGAAAAAGAGACAAAAACAAACAAACAAAAACAAGAGAACCACAATGTTGTGTCACTAAAATCATGCTAAAAGAAATGTTTTTCTTGGAGGTGATTAGGGACTCTAAAGGAACATTTCTCAATATGTGCGTGTGTGTGTGTGTGTGTGTGTGTGTGTGTGAGTGTGTGTTAGCCTATGAACATGTGAGCTTGCTTGTGTGAGCACTGATATGCTGTGTGCATATGTGTGTTCATCGTACGTGTGAGTGTGCATGTATGTGTGTATTCAGCTTGCTAAAATTTGTTCTGAGACATCAGGGAATATACTATTCAGATAAAGATTTCCCTTTTAAATCTGTTCACCTAAAAGGTTTCCATGAAGTGTAAAGTTCAGTTCGTAAGTTCTGAAACCGAGGCCACTTGCATGGCTGTGTGTAGGCCACTTTCTGACACGAGTACTCTTCAAAGAAACACTTGGGTTCATTCATGATATCAGGAGCTCACGGCGAGTTAATTAAGGAGATCTGTTTATTTCGAATCATGGGTACTTACACTAGTCACCCAAGTTGACCAAATTATCAAATTGGCAGTAACCAAATTGCCTTCTCATCATCCTCATTGCTCTTTCTTTTATAGCAATTCTACCACGTGCGGACCAAGATGTTGGCCTCTGTGGTTAGTATGGAAATAATAGATGGTTGCAATTACATACCCCGACTCGTTCAGTTCACAGGAAACCCCTACAAGAACAGTAAATTGTGTTGTATGTTCATTTGGAATAAAGCAATATTTTTACCACGGCTAAGGTGAACTGAAAACTCTCCTGAAGATTTGTCTGTTTTATTTACCCTTACTCTTATTCCAGGAAATTAGTGTTCACATAACCAGTCTTTTTCCAGTTCTTGGTGGTGTTGAGTTGTTATGTTTACACTGTTTTAAATAAAAAGGCACAGTATTTGAAAGAACACACAAGATTTCTTTTACTAGAGTTTGGGAAACCTTGGTGAACATTTCCTCTGGGAACATTCACATCTCATTGGAAGGGCTCTGGGTTGAAACGATTCCTGAAGCAAAGCTGAATATATCCGATTCTTATTTGAGGTGAATTGAGTTGTTGCCACTGAAAACACATTCAAATTAATATTTTGAGGTCCTTCTTGCCATTTAGGAAAAAGGAACAACAACGAAAGAACCCTCTATTCTTATCAACGTTGATTAGTAAAAAGTCAAGTTCTCAAGTGTTGGAAACACTTTGACAGAACTGCATTTTGTCTTTTACCCTACCAATGTGCGATATTTATTGATTGCCCCCTTATTTTTTCTGTTGCTTTAAATACTTGGATATTATGATAAGAATATTCAATTAAGGATCCGCTTTTTGATATTTAATCATCTAAATTGTCCTTTAAAGTACTTAATCGTTCAGAAAAGGCTAGAAGACAATCTTCATTTACAGCTATATAAAAATTCAAAGGTGAATAGCCAATGTGTTCTGAATTTCAAATATTTATTGGCTGGCCTCACAAACCTGTTTGTTCACATATTAATGTGCGTGTGAGCTTCCTTTTCTTTTAACCCAAACAGTATTGATTGCTTCTGAACCAAATCCAGGTAGATTCAACTAATTAAGATGCAGGAGAAGTTATTTTAATGTATTATTTACTCTGAAAGTATTGAAGATTGTCAGTTGCACCTGTGTCTTGACAAATGAGGTAAAAACACAATGTTAACAAATTTAACGATTTTAACAAATGAGGTAAAAGGATGTGCTATGTGATCGTATAGGCCCTACGCTTTCCAGTGAGCATGAACATCAGGCACGTTCACTGGTAGTCTGCTATAAATTTAAGATCTCAATTACATTTTTAAATGATATTCAAGAGAAGATTGACCTTACAGAACACATGTTAATAATTATTATCAGTAGGGTGTTTTTTTTTGTCTTTTTTTTTTTTAACATGAAGCTCTGCTGTGAAAACTCTCTAAAATGCATTATCTTTGGGCCCCAGTTGACAAGTGTTAATAATACAAGACTTTCGATTGGATCTAATAGGATCTACACCCGTAGCCATCATTGCACTGTCCTTGAAGCTCATATCACTGTGAAATGTGCTTTTCTCTACAAGACAGTCTTTATTTTGCTTGGTTTCCCCTTATTGTGTGAATAGAAAATTGGAGCTTTGTAATTAAGCAGGTTCATTATTTATTCATTATTTCTTGGTGAATGAATGTCACCCACTATTTTTTTCTTTGAATCGCTTTCTGATAGGTGTTTTTATAAGGAATGTGTTGTATTACTTTGCCAGTGACTTTGGTGGAATGCTGTTCTTTAAAAGACATGAGCAGGCTATACTCATTAGGAAGAAGAGAAATGATGTTGAAAACTCAACGTGAACATTTTCTTGCTGATTTCCCTATGTACACTCAGAGTTCTGTGCTTTGCACTCTGGCCCAGATGCTACCTTTCTATCAATTAAGGATGTGGCTTCTGTAAATTATCACTTCTCCAATGACTTATTCATATTAATTCTAAATAGCAATAGCTAGGTCCTCTGTAGAAGGAACAAACAGTGTTGACTTTAGGGCTTTATTAATTAGTCTATGTTGATAGTAACAGGATATCGCATCCACCAAAAAGAGAATCCTAGTGCCAAGCCAATTACAAAAGAAAGTCCATTGGCTTCCAGATTGAATGCAATTTATGATCTGAGCAGAGTTTCTGATGAGCAAGGCTAAAAGGGCCAGACTTTGACCTCCACCAAGATTTGCTCTGATATATGCAGTGGTTGCTCACCCCGATCCTACATTCTGGTGCTATCGGACCCATGTCCCATAGAGGAGGGCCATGCAGGTCCCCGGAGTCCATCCTCTTAGAGCAGAACATATGGCCCTGACTGCTGTGAAACATTTCCCAAATGAGTCAGTAGTATACCTAGAAACTTAGCAGGATCGCTGGGATTTTTGTTCTTTTGATAATTGGGAAATATTTTATATATCAATAGTACTTTTATTATGATCCAATAATTATGGATTCAGAAGCGTGTATTGAAGACTAGCATGACAATCCTGTGTTTGTACTCAATTCTTCAAAAAAATCTATTCTTATCCAGGAAGAAGAGTGGACACTTCCTGGACTGTTCTCAATTTTAAATGCATCCCAATGTGCTGTTTATGAATGAGATCTTTAAATAAGCTTTATCTCTCCCTCTTTCATTTTATCTTTCCCTTTTTAATGAATGAATGAGGGCAAAAGGAAACCAGTCATTTCGCAAAACCCACAGTGTTCTCTGATACTGTTTTTCCACTATGACTGTTTACGCACACTTAAACACACTGTGTGTGTCTGGATACTTGATAGGATTGATCACTTGCTTATTTTGGCTGCTTTCTATCACAAATATTAAAGTCATTATTCCCATATAAAGCCAATGAAATGAAGTTATTAGCGACCAGCAAACTTGTCAACACTTAAATCATATCGAAATATCCGTTCCTTTTCATTCTCAGGTAAGCAGAATTCTCTTTGTGTTGGAAAATCCTCAAAACACGGGAATAAGATATATGTTAATGAACTCTAAGAAATGAATAATAGACCATG